TATATATAGACGTACGTAGTATTTGTTTGTGTGGCTGAAATTGTATGTACGTCTGTATTCTTGTATGTGTGTCTGTAAATGGATGTATCAAGTTTTGATGTCTTAGTTACTGTTTGTAAGTTACGAATTCTTCAAAGTACTGCTCAAACATTACACTGTGTGGTGAGGGTTCACAAGCCAACACAAAACAAGGCTTCGAAATAATCCTTGACCACGGTCCAGCTTTGTCGCTTCTATGGGGGATTCCGAGTTCTACAGTAACACGACCAACACCACCACTAACAACATCAACTACTATCTCAACCGGCTCCCTTGCACGCCAGACGTAAGTGATTTTTTATTTGTTTCACATGCACAAAATGGATTTAAAAAATTCGGATGGGGGCTCGTGGAGCGGGTAGATTAGCGGGTGAGGTGTGAGGAAGAGGGGGATATTCATTCATTGAATTGATGGTCTATGAAGCAGGGCTAGGAGCAGAAGCACACAGCATACTTGCGTTACATGGATAAGATAAGATAAGATAAGATAAGATAAGATAAGATAAGATAAGATAAGATGAGATAGATGAAGATCAAGATGATACTCTTTTTTCCCAAATGGGACATTTTGTTTAACGGTACAGGAATAGTAAAAACACATGTAGATACACATAGTGTTTAAATTATATAACTTTCATCAAAAATCATTTTGAGGGGGAAAAAAGAGGCTTACAAAAATAATATGTATTTACTACAACTTATTTAGTTACTTAAACTTCGTTTTGCTGAGAACCATTTCGACACATCTCACTAACATTTACAGAATACCTGGAAACCCCACCTTTAATTAACTACTCAGTCTGTCTCCTCCCCTCGTGTCTTTTCCACTCCTATCAAACATCTATCGTCCTTATCTCCCCTTCTTCTTTTTTTATGAAGTTACTCTCTTGTAACACCTCTGATCTTCTGGTGCTCATATGACCTTATGTAGTTGCGAGCGCAGTAAAACGTCTACTACAACAAGAACTTTTCCACTCGCCCCATTCTTTCCCCCTTTTCCCTCTTCCCTTCAAATCACCTTGTGTTTCCCTCCTGTTCCACTTGCGTTCACCTCCCCTCCTCTCCCTTTCTACCCATTTCAGTTTATCCCCCGTCCTCTCCCTTTTTACCGACTTGCGTCTATCTCCCGTCCTCTCCCTTACTACGCACTTGCGTTCTTCATCTCCAGTCCTCTCCCTTGCATTTTGAAGGCATGAGTATGCAAATCGAAATAAAGCAAACATGCAGGAAAACAGCAATTACAGCAAAATTCTCAAATGTCCACATGTTGTGTTGGTTGATATAACATTTATTGTAACATTTTATGGAGAGCGGTATGTATTTTGAATCTTTGTATAAAGGAAGTTTTGAATTTTTAGTCCGGACTATGAAAGAGAAGAAACTTTTTTAATCTGCAAAGAGTATTATGTAAGAAAAGACAAGGAGAAAGTTTGGGGCTAAGTCATGGAAATATGACTTATTCCCAGTGCACATTACAGAAAGTTTTGTCATATCTCCGTGTATATTTGAGGCCGCCGGCTTTTCTTTCGTGGAGATGCAAAAGCTTGACACTAAATGATCAAATCGTCCAAAATCAAAAGTAACCCATGAAAACAGTATGACGTCCTTCAAAAGAATATTAAGGTAATACTGTTAATTATGAATAACAGAAGCCAACCACTTAGCCCATTACCAAATCCTCGACATCTAACGATACAAAAGAAAGCCTAAAGTAAAGTAAGATGTAAACAGCCAATCAGAAGGCTACTTCAAATTTATGGGCCAGATCTGTCGTTCGCCTGCTTGATGCGATAGGTCATTCTGGACACTCGAGTCTAATTTAATGGGGCAAAGCAGAAGTGAATTTTGATATTGGATGCACTGATCAAAGAAGGATTTGATGAAACTTTCTCTTATGGGCATTGGCTATTAGTGCCACCGAAGCATAGACACATATTATTTTGATGTTGAAAGAAAGTGACCAGACGTAGTGTTGTACTTATACAACAAGCCGTGGACAGTCTATATACAGCTGGTGTCAACTGATGAACCTAGGTAAAAGTTCTGTCGAAGATTGCAGCAATTTAGTGATGTGCTGGTAAGATCTGTCATTACTATAGGAGCTCAAGTGTTGCATCTGATATTTACAGAAATTCTTCAAGTTCCTCTGGAAAAATGCATACATTATGATGGGTGATCTCACCATATCCTCGTGGAATCTTCTGTGGGTTATTTCGGTCTTTTAATCTTTGATTATCTGCTTGTCTGTTCTCAGAATTCTACTGTGGGATCCCTGTGTGACTTCGTCAAGTACGGAGGAGATGAGTAAGTGTGATATTTCCAAATTAAAACATGTTATGAAATGCGGACGCTATCTAGTTTAATTGTCTGCCATGGGCTGTAATTCATTCATTCATTCATTCATTCATTCATTCATTCATTCATTTTTTCATTCATTCATTCTTTCATTCATTCATTCACTCATGCATTCATTAATTCATTCCTTCGTGCATTCATTAATTCATTCATCCGTGGCTGTTATTGTCCAGCCGTAACTAAGTTCTCTCCATGACCCCGTTTTCCCCCCAGGTACATCATCCCCATGCAGCTTTTCATGTTGTTTATGATGCTCTGGGTGATCAACTTTATAGTGGCCTTGGGACAAATGACCTTGGCCGGCGCATTTGGCTCCTACTACTGGGCCTGGGAGAAACCTAAAGATGTCCCGGCATTCCCATTGGCTGGGGCAGTGTACCGCTCTCTCAGGTTAGAAATCAAAGTGAAATTTCATATATATGTATTATATATATATATATATATATATATATATATATATATATATATATATATATATATATGTGTGTGTGTGTGTGTGTACGTGTGTGTGTGTGTGTGTGTGTGTGTGTGTGTGTGTATGTGTGTGTGTGCGTATCTAATATGCATGTTGAGTGTTCTATCCCAGCTTACACTTTCTTTGATCTATAGATTTTTGATCTTGTATAGATTGTAAAGCGCATAGAGCTTGTTGTTGAGCAGTAATTACCGCTGTACAAATGCTATCTATTATTATCCCGGAAAGCCTATACTGAGGTCAAAAATTCGTGGCGCAACTTATTGTCAGATATCTCCTTAACTATAGAACATATACTCTCCAGCTTTTGCACAGTGGCAAGTATCAATTTGTCTTAACAGACCAATATTTTTGTAAACACCTATTACCTGTATTCTAGAAAATTTCTTAATAAATACTAATAAAAAATCCCAGTAGGTGGTTACTTCTGATTTTAAAACGTTTACAGCTAGGACATATCGCTTTTAAAAGCAAGTCTGTTGTTTTTTTTTCTAATCGCGAGATTATCTTTATTGAACTCATTTTTGAGAACTTTTAGTGCAAAAAAAGTGTTCACTATACAATCAATTTCTTGTAACTAGTTTTGCCACTAAAAGTGTCTTTGGTGAGCTGTGACCTAAGTCATATGCGTATGCAAAATGTGTGTGAGAAGTGGGAAGTGCTGTGATCAATTCCTTTTTACATGTTTAAAAGATTTGTCGTATTTTATATACATTATTGTGAAGAAAGGTTTTTAAATCTAGCCTCAGTTGATGTGGATTGTACCTGATGCAGCTTTATACCTGAGCTGTGTTAGTGGGGCTGTTGTTACTTAGTTTTAAAGTGCTAATAAATATTATTTCCAAAAGCACAGCCTCGAATAGTTCTGTTTATTAATTGAGTAGATATAGTGTGTCGGTCGGTTCAAACTGTCGTCCGTGGCTTCAAGATTAAAAGGGGGGGGGGGGGGCTACGCCTGAAGGCTATCTCACTTATTACATGACCGAATTTTACCAAATTTCACACATGTAACAAGCATAGTAAGGAGTCTTAAAATCCTCAATCTAATTTGGAAAAAAAAGTTTCGTTTCCAAGGATACGGCGGCCATATTGGATTTTGTTGAGATGTGTTACGTAATGAATACCGCACTTATCGCTCATGGAAATTGATTGTTCTATTGCATGCAGGTTCACAAACGTTAGATCTAAGAATTTGTTTGTTGTTTTTGTCCTTAACGAATTAGAAACATTTTAAAGAATTTTTTCTCTGAGGTAGCATTCAAGTTTGCAAAAAATCCGTGAAAATCCACACTCCAGACACCACCAACAAAAATCCACTCCATATATCAAATATTCAACTGACACATTTTTAGTAGTATATCTTTTCTTCATTCTGTGAAAATGTCATGAAGATTTGATGAAAAATAGTGGAGTTATTCAAAATAGTATAGAGAAAGGTCGCGTTTTGAGAAAACGGCCGACAAAGAAAAATAAAATACTGACTTTATGAGGAAATGGCGGTGACAAACATGCCCGGTATTGGAAAAAATACAGTTTCTTATGCAATGAAATAGTTGTAGTAGAGGTTGAGGAAGCTAACAATGCCTACAACTCAAATTTCGTAATTTTGAGCCTAATTTTGACGTTGGGGGTGTAGCCCCCCCCCCCCCCCCCTTTAAACTCATTTGGCTTGGTCATTTTGGAGATGAGTGTTAAATTACGGACCAATGCAATGTTGAAAGAAGAGTATAACCTATGCAGCAACAATGAATGGCTGCTGCTGCCTTCCGCAGTACTTTCTCCGGGTTCTCAAGTTGACCTCACTTGTTTAGGAGATACTCAAAACCTACACTGACGCACTAACAGATCAGTTGATATTGTATCAGAATATGATGCCTATGTAGTTTGAATTCCGTGTGTAGCGTTCCATTATTTGGATTATTTTGGGAGATTTTAAGGCTCTCCGCCGACTTGCCTCGGTAACACTAAGTTGGAGAACACGTCTCTATGAGAGCCTCAGAGTGGTTTATTTCATCACTGTAAAGTGCCAGATCTGAAGCGAATGACATTAAGAATTAAAGGCTTATTTTTAAAGTCCCTTATCTTTAAATTGGTTTATCTATAAAGTTGTAAATCTTACAGCTAAGATAACAATACATCATCTATCCACCAGGTTCCACCTTGGCTCGTTGGCGTTCGGCGCTTTCATCATAGCTGTCGTCCAGTTCATCCGAATCATGTTGGAGTACATTGAATACAAGCTCAAAGACTCGGAGAACAGGGTGGCCAAGATTATTCTCAAGTAATTCTTTGCTCTTGTTCGTATTCTATTGCTTATTACTACCCTATCCAACTCTCCACGAAAAAGACGAGCTCTTGATTTCGCCAGTGAGGAAGTCTATCGTCGCCCTGCAGCGCTGTTTAAATAAACTATGTTCACAATTTTGATTGCTTGCCATTGCAGTCTCTTGATCCGATAGATAGATAGATAGATAGATAGATAGATAGATAGATAGATAGATAGATAGATAGACCAACTGTCACTTTCATTCCACCCGCAGAATTCTCAAGTGCTGCTTCTGGTGTTTGGAGAAATTCCTCAAGTTCCTCAACAAAAATGCTTACATTATGGTGGGTGATATCATTGTTTTCTCTTATGACATGGCGTCTACATTTATAAAGTAAAATACACATTATACAATCTGACATTTTAAAATATAACGTGCATGCATAAATGCAAATTGGCATTTATGCGAAGTATGAATGTATGCATGAGTGAATGTATGCATTTATGTATGTATCTCATGTATGCATGAATGCTTCTGTACATGTATGCTTGTACTCATGTTTGAATTTACTCATATGTGAATGTGTAGATTATGCAAGCATGCTTGTATGCGTGTATGTGTGCATGTATACACGTGCACACGAGTGCACGTATGCATATTATGTTATTACGTATACAATATGTATGCTCGTGGAAGTTTCAAAAGAAAAGAAACAATTACAAGGCAATAGCTCGATAACTTTCGAAATAATTTAAACAAAAGTCATGAGTAATAGTTGCTTGACAGTAACTTTATTTTGGTCGAACATTTATAATCGTAATATCATCGAACACAGAAGTAGATGTTCTTCATATCTACAGATTTGACATCTCCTTGGTTGAACGTTATTTGTTCAAAATTTTGTTGACATTGGTGCTAATATGGCCGAGTTATTTCCCTTGTGAACATCCTGTAATAATAATGTTATTGTATGCTCTTAACCTCCTGTTTTACTGGAAAGGACCATGTTTTCAGCTCATTTACAACCGCCTGTGTTTGCATGTTGTTATATAATTTATCAAAGTTACTACGTTGGTTTCATGCCTTTGTAGGTGCTTTACAGCCGTATAAGATAGTATCGAACCAAATGAAAGGGGACTTTTACAAAATTCCGAAACGACAGAAAGGCGAGAACTCTCGCCACCTGAGGCTCGAACCAACACCATCTGCATCCTAGGCTGATACGATATTGTATCCCACTCGGTCTATGTTAGCGTAATAAACTGCATCCAATTGGTATTGGTAGGGACATGATAAATGAAATCTATCTTCAATACAAAATATTGTACACATACTTTTATTACCCTGTCCACAGATTGCAATTCGAGGGAAGAATTTCTGCTTCTCCGCTAAAGACGCCTTCATGCTAATAATGAGAAATATTGTTAGGTAAGCGTATAAAGATATGTAAATCAAACGACAGAGTTCTACATATTTATAACAGCAGCTTGGAAGGCAATTGCTTTCCCATCAGTTAACGATTCAGGCTAAATTAGTGTTGACCCCCCCCCTCCCAACTTTTTCTGGAATCACCATCTCCTAAGGTCAAAAATAATGAAAACCCCAATCATCATCATCATCATCCAGTACCAGATCTGCGACAGACATCGGCGATCATGGTTCTCCATTCATTCCTTTGCTCAGATGCTCTCAAAAAAGCTATGTTTCCCTGATCTTTCCATGTTACCCATTTGTTTAGGTTCCCCAAGTATGCTGTTCTCGCTTGCCCTCAACTTTGCCAGTGAGAGCTAGATGTTCAAGACCCTTATGTCTATGCATGTGTCCCAAAAACTGCATTAGTCTTTTCCTGATTGTTTTTATCATTGAGCGTCCTAGGTGGGCTTCATTAAGCACTACCTCATTTGATTTCTTTTCCTTCCACGATACTCTTAGCAGTCTCCTAAGAAACCACATTTCTGTTGCTTCTATTTTATTTTCACTGTCTTCCGTGATTGTCCAGCTTTCACAGCCATATAGAAGGGTTGACCAAACATAGCATTTCAGGACTGTCATTTTGGTGTTCAGTGAGACGTTTCTATTTTCAGGATTGGGCTCATTTTATTGAAACTAACCTTAGCCATTGTAGTTCTCCGTTTTATTTCTGTGGACCAAAAAACGAAAGAAAATAACCCAACTAAAACATCAACCAAAATATGCCTGGTGCTGTTTTTTTAACTGAAGGCGAACATTGATTTTCTAAATAACGGAAATAAACATGTAAATAACTATGCTGAGATTTAGATGTATGTTTTTCAATTTGGCATATTAACTTTATCATCTTTTATTCAAGCTTTTTTTCATTTCCGCATATTATTAATTCTACCAAGTATCCCCCTCCCCTTTAATCAAAATGAGTTTATTCTTGGAAGCAGGACTATACTTTCTTTCGTAAAGATAACAAGCGATACCCCTTTCTTAGCAAGAAAGTTACTTTCACAACTTTTTTTTGCTTTGGTTAAGACAATGGAAGTGAGATAGAAAACAAGATAGACAGACAGGGAGATAGAACCACGGGGTGGGGTCTGGGAGAGAGATGGAGTGAGAGAGAGAGAGAGCGGAAAGGAAGGAGAGAGGGAAAAAGAGGGAGACAGAGAGAGCCATCCAGAGAATTAGAGAGACAGTGAGCATCAGACACACAGGAACACATACACAATTGCACACACACACACAAACACACACAAACACACACACACACACACACACACACACACACACATACACA